AAGGGGGGCGGGGTGCCGCCGCCGCCGCCGCCATCATGAGCGTGGCGCTGCGGAACGCCCAGCGGGCCGTGCCGGTGCGCCGTGTCCCGCTCCGCCGCGCTGTGTGCGCCCTGCGAGCCGCCCTGGGCGCCTCCTGCTTCGACGTGGGGCTGGTCTGTGCGGGCAACGGGCTGATGCGGCGTCTCAACGGCGTATACCGGCAACGCCCGGAGCCCACCGACGTCCTCTCCTTCCCTTTCCACCGACGGGGGGGCTGCCGCGGCCGCGCTGCCGCGACGAGTATAACTTGGGGGACATCTTCCTGGGGGTGGAGTACATCCACCAGCAGTGCCGCGCCACCGGCGAGGACTTCGACAGCGTCCTGGCGGTGAGCCCCGCCGCGGGCAGCGGCCCCCCGACTCTGCGCTGCAGGGAAGGACAGGCGCGGGGTTGTCCCCCAGCGACAGGGTAGCGGCTGCCGCTTTCCTAGACGGGCCGGGCTAAACAAGGAGGCGATGATCTTGCAGCTTGCCCTAAAAGATTAACTCTGTGTTTTAAAACTTGTGTAACTGGCGAGTTTGGGCACTGCCTGATCTGTGTCACTTCGCATGCAGGGTACCGGCTTGCAAAACGGCGAATGGTCTGGTAGGGGGTTAGCCCCGGTCACTCCTCGTACCCCGGTTCGCGGGGCGGGCTGCATCACTGGCGCCGGGGCTGTCTGCGCAGGCGAGCTGCTGGCGTTGGGCTTAGGTTTGTAACGCAGGTCGTTTGTTCTTGCCTCTTTGCACAGGTGACAGCAGCCCACGGACTGTGCCATTTGCTTGGCTACCAGCACGACACAAAAACCGAGTGGCAACAGGTACGATGATGCCCTGGAGCTGAGCAAGGTCGCGGTGCCCAGCCTGTGCCAGGCCGTACCCGGGTGGAAGGCATCCCCCTGCCTCGCACCCTCGCGGCGGGGAGCCTGCGGCCCGGCCCGCCGGGGGTCGGCCGGCTCTGCGGAGCCCTGGCTCGCATTGATGGCGGCGCCAGCGGCGCTGACCGTGCCTTCTCTGCCGCGCCCTCCTCCCGCAGATGTACCAGAAGGAGATGGAGATCCTGGAGGAGCTGAACCGGCTCACTGGCGCCAGCCTCCGG